ATTAGTCCATGGAGCGATCTCTGCTGCTAAAACTGGGTAATAATCTACACAGGTTATCTCCACCAAGACATTAAGAAAGAAAAGGAGAGATAAAACAATAGGAAGTTGGTTAGGGTGTCACAAAGGGACCCCCAGCTGAGGGCTGTGTGCACATAAGTCACTCAGTATTGCCACACCTGCACTGCCCAGTTTGTCTGCAAGCCTCTGGCTGCAGCTGTCGGCTTCCGGAAGCACTGTCAGTGCACTGAATTGGGGACTGTTGACCTTCTGTAAACTATTTTTTTCCTCTTTTAAAACTTTTGATGTACCTGTTCCAAAAGTCTTACTGCAGTTTTCATCTTTAATAACTTTTAAAATATAAAGACCACAGAAAGACCAGTTGTTAAATTTTTACATGTTGATTTGTAATTAAAATTAGTTATATCTACTGTTGTGCTATACAGCACTCAAGTCATTTTTCAAACTTGATTGGCATCTCCTGGATCTAGGACTGCCATGAGCTGAAGCAGTTGCCTTGAGTTTTTTCATCCCATTGTTAAATTTCTGTGGACGTCTCCTTATAATGGGAAAAAGTGTTTCTTCTTACCGCTACCATGGACTTGAGTTCAACTAAGCAGAGAACAGATGACATTGTTTTCAATATTTACCATCTTTAATCAGGACCAAAAGAAACCAAAACAAAATTTTTAAATCATTATTCAAAATTCACAAAACTTCACACAAAAGCCATTTAAATTTAATCACACTGTTCAAATGCACTAAGACTTCTAAGACAACCCTGTATGTCTTAAACCTCCACAAGCCTGAGGACGACCCCACCGTGGTTTACGTCTGCGCCTTTCAAATGCTCCTTGACTTTGACCCTTGCCCACTGCCTGTCCCTGAGGCAGCCCGCCTCCGCCCTCCGCTGGCGGGACGCGCGCGGCAGCCCTTAGTCCCCGCAGGTGGGCGCGCGTCGCCTGGGGAGCGCGATGTTGCCGCTGCGCTGCGGTTGCCTGGCAACAGACGCTCGTACTGTCCGCCCCTCAGCTCTTGGCGTTGCCCCCAGCTTCGCTCCCGCTGCTCCGGGGGAGCCAGCTAGTACCGAATTCTGGTCCAGTGGGTCCAAACACGAATGAGGATCGGTGTCCCAGACCGGACTAGGAAACGGCCAGATGATGGGATTTAAAAAATAAAGATGTTGTGTCTTGAGCTTCTACTCTATGAAAATAGACTGAGATTGGCTTCGTATTTTTTATAAGAAATGTGGCATCGACGGGCAACCCCCTTCGGGTCCCCTCCCACTGTGGGAGCTTTCTGTCCACTCAATAAATCCAAAGCTTTTTTTTTTTTTTTTAGTTGGAGTCTCACCCTGTTGCCCAGACTGGAGTTCCAGCGATCTTTCCACCTCAGCCTTCCAAGTAGCTGGAACTACAAGGCACGTGCTACCACGCCTGGCTAATTTTTGATTTATTGTAGACATGAGGTCTCTCCAAGTTGCCAAGGCGGGTCTCGAGCCCACGGGCGCAGGCATTTCACTCACCTCGGCCTTCCAAAGTGCTGGGATGACAGGCTGAGCCACCAAGCCCGGTCAAGGAAAGCATTTTTAAGTTTTAGAGTGTTTGGCGGTGTGTTGTGCCACACACTGCAAGGTAGTATTGTGCAGGTGTTGCAGCCACGCTACAAGGTGTATGTCCCAGATACTCCTCTTGGTGACCCCTCTCAGCCTCTGTAAAATGAGGACAATCGTCCCTGCCTTTTAGGATTGTTGCAAACACTAAACGAATCATGTCATGGGACGAATTTAGCCCAGTGCCAGCAATCACTGCATAACTAGATGCAATTTTACAATGCACATTTGTCGCTGTATTATTGATATATTAAGTTCCTGGCTATATGATTTTTTTTTATCACATATGTTTATCTAACCCTTCTTAAATTTCAAATATAAAAATTATCTTTAACCCTAATTTCTAAATCTGGACAAGTGGAAGCCTTCTGCTGTAATTTTAGGGTGACTAAATATCAAACTGCATTAAAAGTCTGGCTTCTGGGTTCTAACTTAATTCTCCTCCTTTAAAAGTTCTCACGGGATTTGTTTTGTCCCTTCCTCTCTGACAATTTAGAGACATTTGGGAATCTTGGCACTTAAAAATTAACAAATCCTGATGAACATCTCACTGCTTTTAAATATATATATTTCCCACTTTCTGACTTCCTCCATTAGGCACAGTACATGCTGGGGTTGGTATTGCCACGTCTGAATAGATGTGTGAGCAGGCTCACAAGGTGTGAGGTGTGGCTGCTGTACTAAATACTCTTCTTCCACAAAACTAGGACTTTTAACCTAGCTTAGAATGGAGTATGACACAGTATGTTTGCTCCTGCTTATGTCAAGAGTCATTTATTGATTTTTTTTTTTTTTTTTTTTTTTATTGTGGAGCAGAGGTCTTGCCAAGTTGCCCAGGCTGGTCTCGAACCCACGGGCTCAGGAAATCTACTCGCCTTGGCCTACTAAGTGCTGGGATGACAGGCTGAGTCACCGAGTGCAGCCCATTTATTGATTTTTTTAAGTACTTTTATTTGCAATGGAGTGCTAAATTGGAAACATATTTTATGAATCTAAAGTCTGATTCCGAAATTCCTTTCATGAGAATTCACACTCTGAGCTGGAGTTATCTTTACCTTTCCCGAATTCATTCATTCATTCACAAATACTCATGGAGCATCTCGTCTGGGTCAGACACTGAACTAGGTCCGGTTGCAGCAGGACCCAGCCCCGGCCCTCAAGGGGTCCACGGTGTGGTGGAGTCGGGGCAGTAAACAAACCGCTGCAATGCAAGGTGATGGGTGACACCAGGGAGGGACTGGGGGTGCTGTTGGAGCAGAGAAGCCTAACTCCGAAGGCGAGGGAGGCAGTGAAGCCCAGCTTGAGGCTGGAAGGATAACTAGGAGTTGGCCAAGAGAAGAGAGCAGCCTGCTGGGAACTACAGTGTTAGGAGGAATGGAGGCGAGTGATGGGGAGGAGAGAGTTTGCAGCAGCCCTGTGGGGATGGGCCGTGCCAAGGATTGTGTAGCTGATGAGGACAGCGACATGATTGAATGTGAACCTCAGGGCGGCAACATTGTGCAGGACGCACTGGAGTAAGCGACACAGGGGGCAGTGGAAACAGCCAGGAGGCTGAGGCTGAAATCCAGCTTAGAGTGAGTGCCCTCAGGTCACAGCAGTGGCAGACGGGATGGAAAGGACGGGATGGATATTTAGGAAACAGACACAACGGGACGCAGTAACTGGGTTTGCAAGATGAAAAAGGAATGGGGAATGACCCCCCTTGTTGTTTCAGAAAACCGAGGACCCTTATTTCAGAGAAAGAACAGAGAGTGAGGAGCAGGGGGAGGGGGGGCAGGAGGGATGAACTCGGTCCTTGGCAAGGTGAATCTGAGGTACCTGAGGCATCCTGGTGAAGGTGTGGCTGGGGCGGCAGTGGTCAGCAGGGTGGGCTGGGTCAGACTCCGGCTGTGCCCAGTAGAGTGTGGGGGATGTCGTCAGCCCTACGGGAAGCGGGTGAGAGAGAGGCTGTGCCGGCGAAAGGCCCCTGGGCCCTGCGGGAAGGGGGGCCCAGGAGCACTGGCCGCAGGGCCGCGGTGGGGGGGTGGGGGGGTGCCGGTGGCCAAAAGCGTCTCCCGGAAAGGCCGGGGCAGGCTCCACAGAGGTCCGAGAGCACACGGACAGATGCTCGCTGGTGGCGTTTCGCCCCGGGAGGCCCCTGACGGTCTTGGGGAGCTTGTTTTCCAGGTGGGGATGGGGGCCGGGGCCAAAGCCAGGCTGCCAGGAGTGAAATGCGAACACAGTCAGGAAACACAGAGTCCGGCTCCCTTTTGACCTCCACCCCCACCCCCGGCTGCGGGCGGCGGAGGAAAGTTGGTGCGGCGACAGGCGTGAGACTCCAGGTGTCGTGGGTTCAGATGGGGCCGACCTGAACGTGTCGCGCGCGGGAGGGAGACGCGCCGGTGAGGCACGGGTGGACAGCGGAAGGGGGGCGGGTGGGGGGGTTAGGGTTGCGCGGCGTGCGCGGGCG